AATTTTAATTACGATCTTCACATCTCTTCACATCTAAAATGCTGTAATATTCACCAAAAATACCCTCGAAGCCTTCTTCTTAAACCCTAACAATGTAATTTTAGATGTGAGGTATGTGGTTTCGAGGAAAAATCTATTATTAACCATGTGATTTTCCCTATAACACTTTAGCTAGGCAGGTTGCGGCTATGTCACTGCCTTGTATCGCAACTTCTCTTTTCTGCTTAATCTATGTAGAAAGTTTGATTTCGTTAAACCTTAAACGCCTTATTCTTTAACCATCCATTCCTATTCCTCTTGGCAACCAAAAATCAAGTGAAATTGGTATTGTTTTGATTGTTTATACAATTCTCGTATGCACAATGCAAAATTTAAAATTGAATTATGATATAACGAAAATACTTGTACAAAACACTAGATTACAAACATTAATGAATTTGGTATACTTATACAAGCGTAGTGAAACAGATGGTAATATTTTATTCCCCTTACTCATGACTATTACAAAATGAATACAAGGAAATGTTCCACCTTTGCTTGGTCCTGACGGTAATGACAATCACAAACCTCGACCGGAAGCAACAAACCCTAGTTCATGGAGAAATGATCCAAAGCGAGCATAAGAAAAGACTCAAACATCAGACCATATAAGTCATCCCAGCTTGCAATATGTTCATATTAGGAACAGTCAGATTCGCATAGAAGTAACTAATCACAAGCTTCTTCACGAAAATCAAATTCTTCTTCGCCCTCACATCTCAATGAGCCAGCAAATACGTCAGCCCCGAGTCCATGGCTTCTCTCAAAGCCGCAAGCTCATATTCCAGAGCTAGATCTTCCTCCATTGACGACCCTACGCTTGCTTTAAGACAGCAAAACATCTGTATCCTACTACTACCGCTTTGCTCGGTGAATGAGAGGGACTGTGAGGTCGTCTGTGTAAGTATCACTTGCCATGGAAACCCTATCGGAATCAAAATCATTAAGAGTGCTCTCCAAAGCATCCTCCAATGCTTCACATCTCAAGAACTTCATTCCTTCGTTCCTCTTAACAAAATGGGTGGGCAAAGTGTTGTCTCTTGATGAACAATTGACTCTGAGATTAATCCCTTTACCAAGTTGGTTTTGAAATTGTATTCTATTTTCAGGGCATTCTTTTTCACGAGCTTCATTCAAGGCAAAACACGAAGTAATGGTTAATAGAAAAACTGTGACATACTTCATTTTTGGATTTCAATTCCAAAATAATAGTATGAATCTACCAACATCATCAAAATATAGTTTTTTCATTCTAAAAATAAAAAAATTGCAAAATTAGAACCCAAAATGAAGATAAAAAAAAATAGGATTTAGTGTCGAAAAAGAAGGTTAGCCAGTAAAATCAAACCAAATATATTAAACTTACAAATGAAAACTAGGGAAATTAGTTTGTATAATAATCTTTCTACATGTAATTAACTATCTAACTACATAAAACATAATATAGTAACTAGAATTTAGCCCACATAAAATCTTAATTTTACCCTTATATAATTATACAACTTTTTTATATTTAAAAATAAACAATTAAGCCCTAATCTAAATCATTCCTTATTTATTAAAAATCTTCTTTCTTCCTTCCTCCCATTCACGCAATGTACAACTTTTTTGTTTTTGTTTTTTATCAATCAAGTCTTCTTCAATCATCCTTTTTTTTTAATACATAA